AGAAGAAAATGTCTGAGGTACGAACAGGGTTGCTAACAATGGCGACCATAATCCTCATTTGCATAGGCTTAACCATGACGGGAACAGGTTTATATTACAGGAAAACAGTCTCACAATGTATCCGAGAAACGGATGGCAGTTTCGTTGTCCTTGGTTTGCTCTTGCTGGTGATTCCTCAGTTTGCTCTTTACGCAATCTGTTGTCGCTCCAAACGTATGTTCACAATTTACATATATGCAATGATATTCGTCTGCGTTGTCCTTGGTGGCTATTCTTTAAAGTGTTTCATCTACAACACAACCTTTGGAATCGCCAAGAACCCTGCTGAGGAAAAGCGAACCGCCAAGCAACTGGTTGGCCGGCTAGTCCCTGAAAGTAAACTTGCAAGAGTCACCGACTGTATCATTTATAACCATGATTGTAACTTCAATGCCAGCCAAAACAGCAATGTTTGGGTAAGTACTTAATTATGTTACCTCATCCTCATTCATTCGTATTAAAGATCAATCTCTAACAATGATGATATAAAGAGGTATTGCTGCGCGCAACCGAGAGGATGTGGAGTGACGACAATGTTCGGGCAACCAGGAGAATGGAGTTGGAAACATCAACATGTAGAGAACCATGTTCCTGAAGAATGTTCTTACGAATACTGTCTTAGTTGCAGAGGTTGCCAGCTGAGCATCTTAAAAGCCATTGTTCATCAATGGAAATATCTCTCCATGTTCTCTTATCCTTCCCTCTTTCTCGTTTGTCTCAGCCTCGCCATTGCCAGGTCCATTAAAGACACTTTTGATGAACCTGATGATTATAGAGGCTATTATACTTGATTTCATTTTTCCATATCAAATGTACATGATATGTAATTCTAGTTTTTAATTAGATTCTTTCATTAATCATTATTATTACCTTTTTTTTTTTTAATCTTAACAATGGAGGAAGAGTCTTTTAAAGTACAAACTCGGATACAAAAATATGTTTGGTAGAGCTATCAGCTATCATTATAAATAGTATTATAACGTTTTGGAAATTCACCGATCTTGCAAGTCAAAAGCAAAAATTAGAAGAAATTTACCAACATTATTACCCATGCAAGATTCAAGATTTGGAATACATATTTTTTCTATATACCAAGGAAATTAATGTTTGGATTTTCTTCCATCAATTCTTAAGGAAATTTTTAAACCCCACTAATTTGAGTTTTATCCTTTTGAAAATTTTAAATCTCGGATTTGAGAATCGTTTTTCTTTTTCTTTTCCATAACACATTATTTATATGATTTTTGTTTAGTTTTTCTCCTTTTGCAAGTAACAAAAATATAAATTAATATGCATTTTTATTTTAAAATAAAATTAACATAAACCTACATATAATTTTCCCAACAATCTCGGATTCAATAAATTCTTATAAATTTCAATGTTTAAATAGTCGAGTGGCAGTTTAGTTAGTCTTAGTGACATGGCAATAAGACATAGTCAAAATCTAATTTAACGACTTTCTCTAAACTAAAGGATCTTCTTAACCCCCACACGATCTCTAAATCCAGTGGCATAATCTAGTAACTAAACACTAAAACCAATGGCTAATAATCTCCATTCTCCACTAGTATCCCCCACTACCCAAAAATCAACCGTTCCCTCTTGCCCCAATAACCACGACTCTATAAACGTTACAAAACATAATTACCAAATTCAAACAAAAACAAAAAACCTCTCTCCCTCTCTCTATCTATTTAAAATCCGATTTGGTTAATCGAGTTCATCCATCAGAGAAAGAAAAACTCCAAAAATGTTTCGAGTTAGCAATTTCGTGGTTGGTCTAGCCAACACATTGGTGATGTTAGTGGGCGCATCTGCCATTGGTTATTCGATTTACATGTTCGTTCACCAAGGCGTCACCGATTGTGAATCTGCCATTCGGATACCACTTCTCACGACCGGGCTCATCCTCTTCTTGGTGTCGTTACTCGGAGTGATAGGATCTTGTTTCAAGGAAAATGTCGCAATGGTTTCGTACTTGATCATATTGTTTTCGGGCATCGTTGCGTTGATGGTTTTCTCCATATTTCTCTTCTTTGTGACTAACAAAGGAGCCGGTCGTGTGGTGTCCGGTCGAGGGTATAAAGAGTACCGGACGGTGGATTTCTCGACTTGGCTTAATGGGTTCGTTGGTGGGAAGAGATGGGTTGGGATAAGGTCTTGTTTGGCTGAGGCTAATGTTTGTGATGATTTGAGTGATGGTCGTGTTAGTCAGATCGCTGATGCGTTTTATCATAAGAACTTGTCTCCCATCCAGGTATTTTTTTGGTGTAATTTAAGTAGGGTTTTTTTTTTTATCGATATTTTTAGGTGTGAATTTATTCCTTTGTTGATATTTTTTGGTTTCGTTGTATATATCAAACGACAAATAAATCTTCAAACAAATAAATAAAAACAGTTTAGGTTCATTTTATCGTTCTTTAGTATGATTAAATTTCATTGTTGAGTTGTATATAGTAAAAAGTATGAAAAATTAAACGAATTAAGGTTTTTTTTTCTATACATTGTTGGTTGTGTGACTCAATTACTGGTTGTGAATGAGCAGTCAGGTTGTTGTAAGCCACCGTCGGATTGCAACTTCGAGTTCAGAAACGCGACGTTCTGGATACCACCGACCAAAAACGAAACGGCGGTTGCAGCCGACAACGGGGACTGCGGTTCGTGGAGCAACGTGCAAACGGAGTTATGTTTCAACTGCAACGCATGCAAAGCGGGTGTGTTAGCGAACATAAGAGAGAAGTGGAGGAATCTTCTTGTTTTCAACATTTGTCTCCTCATTCTCCTCATCACCGTCTATTCCTGCGGTTGCTGTGCTCGTCGTAACAATCGGACGGCTAGGAAAAGTGATTCTGTCTGATCAACAACTCCATTTCAGTTTCTTGTGTTTATGTTTTCTTAGTTTGTTTGTTTCTTTTTAAGTTAATTATCTTTTGGTTTCTTTGGACAATCTGTTTCACAACAATTATCATGAATTTTATCACATTTCACTAGCCATTGACGACATTTCGTTTTTAATTTTATTTTATATTTATTCGAGCATAATACATTAATACAACAAGTCACCTTTCTAATTATCTTTAGGTAACACAAAACAATCACTATGAATTTCTCACACTTCAATAGCCGTACCATTCAAACTCATACAGAAATATATACGTGGTCTTATCTATTTTTATCAACAACCATTAACAAACACACGAAAAATAAAAAGAACAAAACAAAACATTAACACATACAAAAGTTTCAGGATTTTATATTCTACGTTCTCCAAAAGAAACAAAAATTCAATCTTCAATCTCCTTTCATTGGCTAGTAGAAAAAGAACCTCCTTTCATCGATAACCATAACCTCATATCTCATCAATCTCTCTGGTCGAGGAAAAAAATGGAGGATCAGATAAGGCAATTAAAAGACATTTTTGACCGGTTTGACATGGACGCAGACGGAAGCTTAACAATCTTAGAACTCGCGGCGCTTCTCCGGTCACTCGGCCTCAAACCTTCAGGCGACCAAATCCACGTATTGCTAGCTAGCATGGACGCAAACGGCAATGGTTTTGTCGAATTCGATGAGCTCGTTGGTACAATTCTTCCTGATCTGAACGAAGAGATCCTAATCAATTCCGAGCAATTACTCGAGATTTTCAAATCATTCGATAGAGACGGTAACGGGTTCATCAGCGCAGCTGAGCTTGCTGGAGCGATGGCGAAGATGGGTCAACCATTGACATATAAAGAACTAACGGAGATGATCAAAGAAGCAGATACAAATGGTGACGGTGTTATAAGCTTTGGAGAATTTGCTTCCATTATGGCAAAATCTGCTGTTGATTATTTTGGATTAAAAATTAATTCATGATCGTTCAAATTCTTATGCTTTTTTCATTTATTTTTATAGAATCGCATTCATAACAAGTCTTGAAGCTAGATTGATCGAAAATTTGATATATAAATCAGAGAAAATAGTCTTATCAAAGGACGATTAAAGAGGGAAAAACTCAGGGAAACAGATATTCTTAAAATTTGAGAAACAATACGAAATCTAGAAAACAAGCTCATGTGGTTTCATTCCTTGACTCAATGAGAACCTGGCTCCAAGGTAAACCTTGAGCTCTGGGACTGCCTCGATGGATTTGATCAGAGCAGCGTCAACGGTTTTCTGGTCTTCCTTCTTCTCCTGTGGGATCTCTTTCTTCTCCTGATCAAACCATAGTTTTCGGTTAGGTAATGTTACAGAAAAAGAAAACACAAAAACCATTTTTGGTTAAACCAAAATGCATAATAAGATGATTGTATACCTCTTTCTCAGATTCGAAGAATTCGCCTTCTCCTTTCTTCTTCTTCTTCTCAGCAACCTTTCCAAAATACTTGTCATCGAATTTCTCAGTGTTGACTCCAGAAATGTCAATCTTTGTGGAGGTTCCAATCACATAGGCTTGGTTAACACGTCTCAATGGTACACCATTGATCTTGAATGGTCCTGAAATGGGCAAATCAACAAACACAAACATTTAACAAAGATTCCAAATTGAACAATCAAACCAACACTAATACGATATAACAACTGACCTGTGACAAGAAGCAAACCAGAAGAAAGTTGCTTGAGGAAGACAACTCTCTTTCCCTTGAATCTACCAGCAAGAATGATCAACACAGTTCCTGGAGTGATGCTTGATCTGCAAGCACAGACATAAACAAAACCATATTCATATCGAAAATGAAGCATACAATATCTTAGCCGGAAGAAATTTGCTAATCTCTATGAATCCTACATTTCAACAAATCCTAATGATTTCAACCATCTCTCTTATATTCCCAGCAGATCCAAAACCATCCTAATACTGAATCTATCACACAGATAGATTGAGCTTGAAATTAAAAAGCCAATCGAAGAAGAAGATGGATAATTACTTTAGCTTGGTAGGCTTAGGCTTGCGTCTGTTAACGAGCGGCTTCTTAACGTCTTCCGCTGGATAAAACTTGGCAGGCTTCTCCACCGGAGCATCGACCTTAGACTTAGCATCGTGACGAGGGAAAACGCCGCCGTTTTTGGCCTTGATTGCCCACAAACCTCTCTTGTGGTACATCTGAGACCTAGAGTATTTGCCGACCCCCCTGATTAGGTCAGGGTTACGGTTAACTTTCGGAGTCCTCTGCTTCGCCGCCGGCATTTTTTCTGGTTTTTGTGTGACAAAATCTCTCTTAGTGGCGTAAACCCTAGTTGAGAGTCAGCAGCTCTTAAATATAAAGGACGATTGCAGCATAAATAAAACCTAATGGGCCTTATATGGGTTTCATATGGGTTTCTATTTCAAAGTTACTATGCAAATAATTCTGGAAAAGTAAAAACTTTATTTTCTGTAATTGTTTTTTTTTTGTCAACTATGCTTATGTTAAAAATAAAAATCATGTTAATAATAAAAATATCACAAGAACATAGTTGTGACATAAAAGTATTTTTCAGGATTTACTTTTAAAAAAATATAGATATAAAGCAAATTTTTTGGTTTGTAACTTATAAAATTTAAAAGGACACCACAATACAGAACAGCATAAGAAAAACATTCATAAAGTATACATTACCAAATGACGAAAAAATAGTAAAAATAAAATTAGTAAAACATAGAAAATAATTGTGTTTTTGTCATTCCTATAGAATACAGATGTTAGCAAACAACTGGGGGGAAACAATAAAAAAAATAAAATGTAGTAAAGAAACAACATGAGGTCTGATCAGTCTCCAAACTTGTTAATGCTTCATCTGTGGACGAGCAAACCCGGGCTGCACCAAAAAACCAAACAAACTTGATGAAAAAAAAAAAAAAAAAAAACCAAACAAACATATTAGTGCATGTTCACAGAAACTTGTTGAACAACTTCACTGTTTTAGAGTGTTTTGATTATAGCATCACTGTAGTTTAAGTTACCTGAAGCAGCTTTGAAGGAGCTTCTTGATGAACAAGACCGTGGCTTCTAGTTTTCCTTCTATCCGACGCAGGACTAGTATTAGCTACGGTTATGTCCCAAAAGCTTCTCTTTTTAGCTGCTGCAGCTGGAGATGCAAACCGATGACTCGGGCTTTTCAGCTCCTTCTCCTTCTCCTTTGGTCTCAAGCTCCCTCTTGTGACAATCCTCCTTGTTTCTTTGCCTCTTTCTGGAGTTTTCTCGCTCTTTCTACTACAAAGATCTTTCATTAATTCTTCTTTTTGCTTCTTCATCTGCAACCCATGTTCCCTCTTCATTCTCTCCATCTCCATCTTCAATGCCTTTACAGTCAGCTGAAGTTCCTTCACAGCTTCTTCTGCTTTTGTCCTTTTGGATGATTCTGGTGTGAAACATGTCCCTGATAACAACGAATGCCTTGGTTTCTTCTTCTGCTGAGCTGTTAACGCAGATGGTGGAGTCATTAGAGATGAGATTGATGGAGGTGTCAGAGAAATGTTGTTGTTGTTGTTGTTATTAGCAGCGGCTAAGTTCTCTGCTTGAAGAGTCAAAAGCTTTTGCTGCTGCTTCGCGAGCTGGACACGCAATTCACAGTTCTCTTTTTGAAGCTCTAACAAGAGCTTGGCCTGATCAGCCCCTTCTTCTTCACCCATTTGAACCACCTCTTCATTTACTTCACATCCCTTCATACGAATCTCCTTGGCTCGATCAGCCCAATGGAGAGTGTTTTGTGTTTCACCAAAAGATTGACTGCTTGGACTTATATTAGCAATCATCACCGTGTTACACGAGCCGCCTAGTGAGTCTTTTAGTAGTTGTGTGAGCTTTGAGTTTCTGTAAGGAATATGTTTCTTGCCTTCCACAAGCGCGTTAATGCAACTACTTAATGCGAGAAGTGATCTGTTTATATTTGCTCCTTCCAGTGATCTGAGTGTCCTTTGATCAGTTGCTAGCGCTCTTTCAGAACCGGCAAGATCAATGAGAGATAGCTTTCCTACCCGGCTGATGATATTCATGGAAGCATCTCTAGTCTTATACTCCACTATTACCTAGAGAACCACAACAAAAGATCAACTTAAGTCCAGGCCTAAAAATCGATGATACACTATTTATTTAACGCAATATGAAACTGAGAAAGATGAAAATATAACCTGAAGGATGGCGTGTGAGCGAGAAGATGTTTCGTTGCAACGAGTTGGCTCGGTAGTTCTGTTTTGATTTCCCCTTTGGAGCAAAGCCATAACCTAGCAAACAAATCTTATATATTAGCTTTTGTTTTTCAAGATCATTCAAAATGGAAAATGAATAGATTAGAAGAAGAAACCTCATCTGTTGAGTAAGCTCTATATTGAGTGAGACCAGCAGCCACAATTCCCTGATTTCGATCACATACAGAGAAAAGCAAATGAATGAGACCATTGTGTTCTTACTTCTTATCTAAAGCTAAAAGAGAAAAAAAAAAAAAAAAAAAAAGTAATTTCCGTTTTATGTTTACCTGCTTATCTTCGCGGAGAATGAGAGGTCTACCAGGTGAAAGCAAATCTCGAACAGTTTCATTATAAACCTCAAGATAAGAAAGATGAACAACATGGTTCCCATCTAAGCTTCTCTGTCTAACTTTAGCAAACAAATCTTTGATTGCTAAAACCATAACACCTGGATTCTCCATTGTCCCTAACATCGTATAAGTCTTGCCTGCTCCCGTAGCACCGTAGCAGAAAACCGAACCATTTCTTCCTTCAAGAACTGCTTCAACAAGATCTCCTGTTCTGAATAAATCAAGGGTAGGGGAAAGACATCTAAGAACTTGCAGCATTTTGATTCCCATTGCTTTCTAATGAAAGGATCCATTATTCAAGACAATATAGAGGACAGAGATGATTAAATTACACTTACGTGGTGGAATAAACCTCTTGTTGTGTGGTAGTTTCAGGAAATGAAGAATCAAAAGTGAAATGTCGAACACGGAGCCTCTTAAGCCTAAGGTAATCGTTCTCATTCGTAAACTCCGTTAGATAAACATCTCTTTTATTCAAAATCTTGACACAACATCTTGCCCCATTCTCTCTTTCCTTTTTCCCCATTGGTCTAAGCCTCACAAACACCAAAATCCGACTCACAGAAGCATCAAGACTATCCAATTTTTCAGCTTCTGTAACGTTTCTAGCTCCAATACCCATTGAGAGCTTTCTAATCACACCACTACTAGGCTTAACAGGAACCGAATTAACCCCGAAAATCCGATCTGCTTCGAATACATTGTTCTCTTTGGTTTCTTCTTCAATAAATTTAGAATCTTTACCGTCTTGGCGATGAAATCTGTCTCCTTTCTTGCAAGAATCAAGCAGCTGAGTCTTGAATCTCTGGTCATCGGGTTTAGGAGACTGATTAGGGTTCCTGAGAGAGAAAGAAGCTCTCTTTTGCTGCTCGTACAAGAGAGTCAAAGCTCTCATCTTTTCTTTCAACCCTTGATGTGGATTTCTCAACGGAAGATTCAGATTTGTGTTTTCTTGCTCATTTCGCTCCTGTTTCATCACCTTGGATCGAGTAGATACCGGCATTTTTTCTTTCTCCAGAAGCTAAGATTTTCTCACCATCCAAATACAAAACCTAGCAAAGAAGAAGATCTTGGTGTGTGATCTTTAGAGTTAAATTTATGACTGATCAAACGCCGTTGATTGGTTGGACTGGAGAACAAGTGCGTTGGTCAAAACGAAAGCTTAGCTTTGAGAGAGTGTAGATAAATTGCTATTTTCACACTTTTGCAAATTAAGAAAAGAATTGAAGGAGTTTTTTTGAAACTTTATTGTAACGGTCATAAATTGCTTTGTCAGCCCACTGTTTGAGCTTTTTATTTTATTTTTTAATATAAGTGACAGATGGAAACATAATTGCTTTTTCAAAATTTTAATATGAGAATATTTTGGTTTTTCCGTTTTGATTTGGGCCTAAATCTACCATTTTGGTTTAGTATAATAACTTTGGTGTGATTGTGTTTTTTTTCCTATATAAAACCAAACAAAACATAAGAAGAAATAAATCCTTTCTGTAATTGACATATCATATTGTATAAGAAAAATAATTTCAATTGTCCTGGTATAAAAATCATAAATTGACAGGTTGATATACACTGGTTCTATTTCGGTTCGGTTCAATTGTTCAGTTAAATCCTGATGAACCAATAAGCAACAATCATGACTCATTTCGGTGGTAAGGTAAACCGGAGTATTAAATAAACAAAAAAAATCCAAGCCGAAAACCAGACCAGACCCGAGCCATTCGCAGGAGTCATTTAGCTGAGCCTTTTACTCTCTCAACTTCTCAATTCCCAAAACCAGCCGACCGATTATTGAGCCAGCCTCGTTGCCCTAGCTCCTCTCCTCCGTTGAATCCTCCGACCAAATCAACGGATCCGCCGTCGTAACCAATCCCTCAGATCGGCGAAATTCCGACTCGCCGATCCTCCTAAGCTCATATCCCTTAAATCGGCTCAGAGATCCAGCGCCGATCCTCTTTCTCTCTTGGCTGCTGTTTCTGCTTTCCCTCCAAAAAAAACAAAATAACTTCCCTCTCTCTCTCGCAACGGATTTTTCTCGAAGGATCGTTTCACAGAGACAAAGAAGCTTGGAATCAAATGGAGTGGAATGTTAACAATGCATTCAAAACCTACAAAGGTAAAATGAATAATCATCAATCAGATAATTTGTGATAGCTTACTTGTGGTCTCAGTGTGTGTGTCAATTGAGGCTACAGGCACTTATGACCATGTTCTTTGTTGCTGCTTCTTGATGTAGAATTGGAACCTAAAGCTATGATGGATATGACACTTGTTCCACATTCTGATCCCATTGACATTGGATTAGGCTCTTCTGATAAGTCAAACTCTGTTCCTCCTAAACGGAAGAAGACTATGACTTCAGTTTATCTTAAATATTTTGAGACTGCACCAGACAGCAAAACTCGGAAATGCAAATTCTGCGGACAAAGCTATTCCATTGCCACAGCTACTGGTATTATTCTTATATCCTCTCTCAAGTCAATGTTTTCCAAGTGTTTCATTCTCCATTCTCATTGTGTTTTCCCTGGTTGTTGGAATTTTTATTCGCAGTCCTCATGATTTTACTAATTACATTTTTTGTTCTTGTTCTGTTTTCCTGCTCTAAGGAAATCTTGGAAGGCATCTGACTAATCGGCATCCAGGCTATGATAATTCAACAGATGTGGTTACCAGCTCATCAGTACCACAGACACCACCAGTTGTTGTAAAACCGTCACAATCCCAGTCAAAAGCGCCACAACTCGATTATGATCATCTTAACTGGTTAGTTCTCAAGTGGCTTGCTTTGTCATCACTTCCTCCCTCTACTGTAGACGAAACATGGTTGGGAAACTCCTTCAAATTTCTTAACCCATCCATCCAGTTATGGCCGGCTAAAAAATATAAAGCCATACTTCATGAGGTTTTCAGAAGTATGCGGGGAGATGTAAAGACATCCATGGAGCATATCCAATCCAAAGTTTCTGTCACTTTGAGTTTCTGGAATTCATATGAAAACATTTTTTATATGAGCGTAACGGGCCAATGGATAGACGAAAATTGGTCGTCTCATAGATTGCTGCTTGACATATGTCGGATTCCTTATCCCTCTGGGGGTTCTGAGATACATAACTCCCTTTTAAAAGTCCTTAAGATATATGCTATTGAAGACAGGGTTCTATCTTGTACACATGACAACAGCCAAAACGCT